GTCTTTCACTCTATCTTTCTATGCTATGTGATCACTATTAAACTAATATCATAATGATAAAATTTCGATAAGAACTATTTTTGTTGAAAACCAGCTGGTAACATTTAGATCATAATGAATGTAGTATATTTGCATTCCACTTTATTATCACATAATATGTTGTATTGAAAAAACAAAGTATACTAGAAGATGCAGCGTGAAAAGCTGTACAATATAAGAAGTACCGCTTATTTTATAATTGTACATTTTGTTTTAAAAATGGACAAAACTCTGAGTTACCAAGTTTCGACGTGATGAAAACGAGACTTTTTGGTAAAAAAAAACGAATTTAGTTTTTTTTCTATCTTATCTTTGCCTAGTTGTTCTGTGTAAATTGTAGATTTCTTCACATTGATCTTGTAGCGTATTTTGTTTCTTAAAATAAAACATATCACGTAATAAAAAGATGAGACAGGAAAAACGGAATTCATCTTTAACCAAAGAAAAATCTCGTTTTTCGTAATGTCGAAATTCGGTAGCTCAAAGTTTTGTCCATTTTAAAAACAAAATGTACAACTATAAAATAAGCGGTACTTTTTATACTGTAGAGCTTTTCACGCTGCATCTTCTAGTATACTTTGTTTTTTCAATACAACATATTATGTGATAATAAAGTGGAATGCAAAAATACCACATTCATTATGATCTAAATGTTACCAGCTGATTTTCAACAAAAATAGTTCTTATCGAAATGTTATCATTATGATATTAGTTTAGTAGTGATCACATAGCATAGAAAGATAGAGTGAAAGACGCTCTATCTATTCATGAAAAGGAAAATTTTTTCAAGCTTTCAATAAGACAAAAAAAGAACCTCCGCCACTACTTTTGCATAACCCTAAGTAAAACCCATTCGACATATAGGTGAATATTTCCATAAAAGACTACGCTACAACGCCTTAGAACAAAGTTCGAATCTAATCTGTGCACTTCAACTAAAATGAGTTAAACAGTAAAATTCTGTATCATTTCACAAGGGAAATCCACTTAGAAAAGTATTTACTTCTCTCCGAAATAATTCACATCATCCATATCTAATACTACTTATAACATACTTTTGCCATAAGATGGACAATATGCTATGGGAAAGACTAACACACAGCTTTTTTGCAAGCACTTGTTCGAGTACTTCTGAAATTTTTAATGCTTAGTATTGATGCCGAAAACTGGCTCTAATTCTGAATCATATAGTGAAGATTGAAGATACCCAAGATCACTAATGTATGTCACTTAGAGTCTCATCTGGCGAGTCACGAAAGTTTCATGAAAAACTGATGATGTTTTCTGTAGGAGCCGATAACAACGCAAAACGTCGTCCTTCTTTTACAAAATTATAAATAAAATTTGATTATTCTATCTTTATTCCATAAATCATCTGAATAAGAGGCACGATGAAAAAAAATGTGTAGAATTAAACAAAAAATAAAATTCTAAAAACTATATGTTTTTAGGTGTTCGAAATGGTTCATATTGTCATTGGAGATGATCGAGAAATCTCTATGAAATAGCTGATTAAGAAGCTAATAAAGAATATGGAAACATTTTTAATACGAATTTTCAATGAATGGACGTTTCGGAATAAAGATTTTCAAACATGATTCTTTTTCTATTGTCACCATTCTGTAATACTAATCTTCATAGCTAACTAACTCACAAAAGTATTAAAAAATTCATGAATCTGAAGTGATAATTCAAAAAGGAGATGAATTCAATATACTTTCACAGCAACATCATGAACACTTGTAATCATTTTTATTATACACAAAACGCTTCTCTTTCATATAGCAATATTTCTGCTTGAATTATATTAAATCATATATCATCTCTTGTAAGCATTCAATCATTTTGATAATTTTATATTATTAAACTAGCTTTGTTTCGAAAGCAATTGAAATTTGTTTCATAAGATGCGTTTCAAAAAGTATAACATCACGACAACGTTTTCTTCCTGCTTTTGCTTTTTGATATTGTTTGAGATACAAACTTTCTATTTTTATTTCACATGCAAGATTCCTTGCTTAGAACTCATCAATGCATATCGTCATATGTGTAACGAACGTATCTTGTATAGAATATTTGCGATTGACTGCCGTGAATGAAAAACGAAAAATAGAGAAAATAATGGATGATAGAAAGCGTATAAAGTTGCCTCTTCAGCAAGGTAAAAAGAAATAAGAGATTCGATCAGGCATGGGAATTGTGTTACACATGCACTCACAAGCTCTATCAACATACTCATTATAATAATTTTCTTCTTCTATTTATTGTTATTCATATTGTTGCTATATACAACCTATTAGAATAATTTCAAAAATAGAAACAAGGTATTTGATAATATGTAAGTAGAGTCCATATAATTTAGACATTAGAAATGATTGAGATAGACATGAAACCAATTCGAATGATCATTTCATACATGTTTTTTTTTCACCAGTAATCTCCTTGATTCAGGTTTCTAACTTTTCTTGTCGATCTTCTATTTATCTGTACATATTTCAGAGATAAGTAAACGATTGACTACGATTAGTTGTGAGTGTAGATATCAGTGATTACGGTATTTAGTATAGATCTGAATGAAAGAAAGAATCTTCTTAATATACCGGGTGGCCTATAAGTAAGGAAACGGAACAAAAAAATTGAATATCTCTATTACGATTTGACCAAACGAGCTCATTTTTATAGTAAGGCCAGAGACCTGTTCATACATTATATCCATACGAGCAAGGCTGATGAGAATCTTTGTTAAGTATCATTAGTGACCTAAATAAAATATTTTACCTGTTCGCAAATAAGAAAAATTAAATGTAGAGGGTACCTCAAAAGTCAGTTTCCTGAAAAGAATATTGAATATTCATATTACGACACAAGCGAACGAGTTGATATTTGAACCAAAGATAGAGGCATGTTCATACTCGAAATCCATACAGACAAGATTAGTCTGAACCTTTGTTAAGTATATTTGTTTCTTTTCTAATCTGTGAAAAAAGTAAAATTTTCTTGTTGAGGTCATTAATAATACTTAACAAAGATTCTCATCAACCTTGCTCGTATGGATTTAGTGTGTGAACAGGCCTCTAGCATTGCTATAAAAATGAGCACATTTGGTCAAATCGTAATAGAGATATTCAAGTTTTTTTTGTTCCGTTTCCTTATTTATGGACCACCCGATAAATTGATTCTAATTCAGTTTCAATTTCAGCTAAAATCGAGTATTAGAAGGAAAATGGATCAGATTTAGAATAAATCCACAACTTAAGTGTTGCAAAAAAATTCGAAAAATATTATTCAATTGAGACTAACTATCAACACTCAAGTTTCTTTCAGTCTAATCGTTTTACTTTGAGTAGTTCGTGTATTGTTAGTAATATGTGTGCGTCAACATTTTTTCCTAACACGAAAACAAATTAATCTTTTCATATGATTTCACAACAGCCTAAACATGTAAAGATTGATAGTAGAAATTTTTTTCTCTATTGTTTATGAATTCAGAAATTGAGACTCATAAATCAATAAATAGATAAAAAGTAAAAAGACTATCTCCGAAAACAAACGAAGCTTTCTTTTCCAGGAAGTTAAATGTTATTGATTATTTTTGAATATTGTAGATAAATTATAAATCAACAAAGAGTCTCGTTGAAAAACGCTCTCAATTCGTAGTTTAAACAACTTCATAACTCGTGTCAAACGTCATCAAGTGAAAATCATATCAACTTGAAAAGACAATTGCTGCGGAATTTTTCATTTATAGTGAAATAATTTAGTTTAAGATTAAAAAAACTGATAATGAATCGATTTCTCGATATCGATCTTAATCATGAGAGAATTTCAACAAATTATGATTATCAAAAACGATCCTTATTTTCACTTAAATCTAACGTACCTCTTATTGTTTACTTGCATCAATAGATCAAGGAAGCTTTGAATTTTCATCCGAACACAATTTCACACATGACGAATCTGTTTCAATTTATCTTGATACTATGGAATTGGGTACTCATAGTAGTTTATATCGATTGTTGAAAAAAGATCCATCTGCATTAGTTCCATGGTTTAATTATCTCAAATTATTTAACAATTGCACTCTCAATATTACCTTTGGTGTGTTACAAAAGAAACAATTAATAAAAATTTTCTTCAAGGTAGTAAAATCATTTCGCGAAGTATAATATCTTTCTCAGGGGTATAGGTGTGGTTATGGTTATTGGTGTGAGTGTGTGGGTGGGTGTGGGCGTGTATTACTAAAGACCCACACCCACATCCCACACCCCACCCACACGCAATGAGTGAAGCTATTTTGAAAATTTCCGAAACGAGTTCTGAATTTGCGATACTGTCGACGTTAAAAAAATAATCTCATTACATTTTAAAACATTCGAATAACCTTTGTATATGACTTTTAGAGGCAAGCATTTTATTTCAAATAAATTATTAAATTGAGAAATTGATTTCTTTTAAATTTTAATTTAAAAAATTAGATATTTTAAGTTGAAATTTTTGTTTTGAAAAAATTAGTTTATTTTAAAATAAAAATTTCAGTTTTCATTAAATTGTACATATAAATTTACTAAATTTTATTTTCAGTAAAACTTCTATGTGGATTAATTTTAATTTAAAATAAATAAACTGTGTATCGACATCTTCTCTATTGCTTGAAAAAAGTTTTAATATCAGGAAAGAGTCTTGATACGCTAAAGAGAAACATTTTTTAATGTGATTAATGAAATAACATTGTAGACTAAGTGGCTTAATTCAATTAATATACTTTATTCTTTATATGCGACGAAGTGAACAGTCACCCGTTCAGGTATCTGGATTATAATTCATACCAATTAAATTAACAAAAAAAACTATTCTTATTAAGAGGGGATATCTCAAAACAAAATAAAAAATGCGAAAATATGAGTAGAATTTTACAGTAGTTGGTAAAAACGAAATATATATGTTCAATTCAATTTCTCCCATTATTCATTTGATTCTAATGTATCATATTTAATTTTTATAATGCCACCACTGCTTGTATTTGGCTCTTGTAATGCATACCAAGCAATACTTTGTTTTTCTGGTTCCAGATTTGATAAATCAATTTGAAGCTTGAAAAAAATGAATTGAATAAAAAACTAATCTTTGTTAGTGTCTGTCTTTTTTACTTACATCACCCATATATGTTTGCTCTTTTGCAAATAAAGGTGAATTATTTCTAACAATCAAACAAAGACGTTGTTGACGTATAACAACTAATGACGCTTGCCATTCAAATCTAAATAATTATCAACAATATATAAAATTTTTCTTTATTATCTCTTACAAATCATTATAGGTTGGATTAAGCGTATCATGAATAGATTTTGTTTTCTTTTTTTCCTTTTTGAAATCAGGCATTAAATAAAGACGCACATATGGAACTGGCAAATTCTGTCGATGAACATTCATAAGTCCTCTAGAAAAAGAATTTGACTTTTTTGTATGAAATTTATTCTTTAAAGGACATTTACTTGCACGCATGTACAGTAACAGATAATGCTGAACGACGAGTAAAATAACGAATACCAATTTTTACAATGCCAAAATTTGTTGATCTGTATGATTTTCTCAAGAATAATTTAAAAATTAAAAAACAACAGAACAGTTTTATTACCTCAAGTCAGGATCATTAGCGATAATAAGACTTTTTCTGTCAGCTTTTATACGACTTTCCAATGTGGGATGATGAATAGTTGATGACTACAATTTATAACAAGAAATAAATTCACAGTTTTTATTTCGTTCATAGTTTCATAAAGATTATCGATTGACGAATGTCATAGGTAATGTAATATTAACTTCAAGATTTAAAAATAACTTATTAACGATTATGCAATTCTTTTAATTTAAAAAGAATCTAATTAAATGATACGAAATTCTTACTACAGTTCTACAAAATAATCTTTTTTTAATGCTGTGAGCTTAAATATCACAGACGATGTGACTATACTTCACATTATCATTAATAACATTTTATTTAACTATCAGGATAACAAAATTAATAGACGAAAATACTCTTTCATTACTCTTACAATGTATATAGTAATGGAAATATCATGACTACAAAATAATACAAACATAGGTGAGTGAAGAGCGTTCCACTTGTACCGTTGAGTTTTGAAAAGAAAAATGCCTTTAAGTCGAGTTCAACTCAATCGATTTTAATAATTTTTCCTTTGCTTTATTGGTCATTCACTTCTGAAAAAATCAAGTTTCTAGCTGGTTTAGTTTTCGAGAAATCATAGCAACAATATGAAATACTTAGCACAGCAGTGCCACATTTTTTTAATCAGACTTGTAGAACTCATCGCGAGCTTTCACAATATATCATTAGTCTTAGCTTTATAGAAAGTTTTATGAATGAGTAACTCAGGTTCTTTTAATTTTTGTGTAGACCGAGATTAAAATAATTGACTTCCAATTTTAAGAAATTTCATTGAATATGAAAGAAAGACGAGAGGAAAATAATTTGACAAACAAAAGATGTTTGTTTCATAAACTTTGTTAATACAAAAATATGAATAAAACATATTCGCGTTAAATGTAGGACGAGATCTTTGCTTTAAACAATCTTCGTTGAATATCAAGAGAAGAGATAAGGGAAAAGAAACTCTGACACGTAAAATTTTTATTGGCAAAGTATTTACGGGAGTAGTTTATATACTAAGTATATGGGAAAAATAGGTGTAGCGTATAGAAATTGGCTGTAATATTGTGAATCTCGATCACAACAGAGGGTAGTGTTGAGAAAATATTTATTCGATATAGCTCTATTAAATACGACACTTCATTCTCCTTCAACACAAAATTTATTTCCGAAACGTAATAATTGGTGCGCTCTTCACTCAAGTATTTATTACATGTAGAATGATTTCTTAAAGGACGGGGACGCATTTGGTCGTAAATCGGCCTGTCGAACTTTTTTCAACGGAACCCCTACTATCTTATATCAAATGAAAGATCTCATTGAGATGAACATTTTTG